GGGCCCCACAGAGGAGCTGCGAGAAGACCTGCAGAAGGAACCTGGGCCCCACAGAGGAGCTGCGAGAAGACCTGCAGAAGGAACCTGGGCCCCAACAGCACCAGCGCCGATACTGCACGTGACACAGCAGAGAGCCATCCTCTGAGCCTGGACCACGGGGCACGGTCGCTGCCGTCGGCAAGCACCCACGGCGCGCCCAGCGCTGCGGCCGGGCCTAAAGACGTCACTCGTCTCATCCTTGACGCAGCCCGAGGCGGGTGCTGCTCGCCCCAGACGAGAACATGCGTGACTGGCCCAGGGGAGCGCTGCTGGGAGGTGGGGGAGCTGAGAGCTGAGCTCAAACCTGCCCTGATCCTTCTAAGCTCTGTGACTTGGATGTGACAGGGGCACAATGACAGTCTTGTAAAAGAATGGTATCAGAAAATCGATGTAAATTAACGTAAATACTCCACATGGCTCTTCCCAAAGGGCCAGGCCGTCCAGGTGGGGGGCCAGATCCCACTGGGTCGACCCGGCCCCTGGCAGGCACCACAGCAACACAGTTACTAACAGACGGGGCCGGGGCCAATTCCGGCCATCACCAAATGACGTTTCAGCTGAACTAATGAGACTCTTATGGAAAACTCGGACATCATTCTGAGCTTCTGAAACAGAGCGAGGCAGGCCTCAATACCAGCCAGTTATCCAGGAACCCAAACAAGGAGAGGGAACTGAACGGAAACAGTTCAACCTCGGGTGACGCGCAGGTTAGAAAACACCGCTCGCGCAAGCTGCTGCCTGCTCTGGGGAGGTCCTGAGGGCCATCCGCAGAGTCTGCGGAGCAAACAGGCTCTGCCAGGGTCCTGCAGAGCCGGCCCAGGCCCGGGGAGGGAGTGCCAGGCATCTCCAGAGGAAGGGACTGGCCACACGCGCCCGCTGAGCCCGGGCTGAAGATGGCGCAGCACCACCGTGAAATCACCACGTGACACAGCCCTAACGCTCCACCTAAACACTGACACAGCCCGAGGACAGCGGCAGTGGTCAGAACGTACTCTTTTGGTTGAAGGAATCCGAAGGCAGTCTTCTTCTACGTGAAACCCGCACGTCAGCCCCACTTCCTTAATGAAATCCAGGTACTCGCGGTATTGCGTCTTCTGGCTCTGCCGCCGTGGATATTTCCCAACAAAGTCAAAGAAGCAGCAGGGGAGGACAAAGAAACGGCAGCGGTAGGATGACCTTCAAGAAAATCAACAACCAGAGAAACCAGAAACCTTGAATAACGTCATTAAGTAAGACAGTAGAAATCCACTTGGCAATAATGCATCAGGGCAAAACAGGGAAGATCTGCTCCTGGCTGATGCTGTCTTTTACATAAAACAATGACTGCAGACTTCCCCAACTTAATTTCTAGAAGCAATACATCATGTTATGTGGCTTACACGTTTTCAATAAGCTACAAATCCAATTACTTTTATAAAGAACAGCTTTCTGTTGCAGACATGCTAGTCATCTGCAATGTAAGACTTCCTGAAGTACTAAGACTCCAGTTACAACCAAGATTTCAGAGGCAGGCAGACACAGACCACGTGAAGACCTGGCGGTTGGCATATGTGATTCCCTGAGAGCTAGAAGAGTTAAACGACTCTCACACAAAGGGGACCTGCAGCAGTCCTGACGCGACAGACATGCGTGCTCTTAAAAGGAAGAGACAAATACAGATGTTTAGGTTAAAAAGCCATATCATCGGGGGCCTCCTTCAAAGACAGACCCTCCTGTTATCAGGAAAAAACTTCCCAAAAAAGACACACCTTCCAATAGTGGCTGTAACTACTGAGGTCAATCACAGCGTTGATCAGCGCTGTCTGGGAAAAACACGATGCGAACCACGTGTGTAATTCTAAATCTCAAGTAGTCATATTTTCAGAAAGTAAAAAGAAACAGGTAGAATTTAGATTAATGACACATTTAATTCAGTCCGACATACTCACACGTTATCGTTCCAACAACCTGGACTGGCCACACTTCAGGGGCTCGGGCCACACGTGGCTCGAGGCGCCTGTCCTGCCCAGCACTGTGTGGACGACAGAATGTCCTGGTCGTCTGCCACGCCACCTGCCCTCACCTGGCTGCGATGACAGGTATCCACGGCGTGAGTTCATCAGAATGGTTCCCGATTAACCAGTCCACGTCAGGGAAGAGGTTCTTATCCTCGGGGGTGACTGCACCTTCCTAGAGAACACCACAAAAACCAGACTAAGTGTTGAGTCAACAAGCATGAGCCTGCGAGGCAGCGAGACACAGAGGATGAGCAAAGGCCCTGAGGTCACATGCTGGGCTCACACGGCAGGGATCAGCCTCAACGCCCTGTGGGCCGGCCATGGCTTCCTCCACAGAGGGCGGGAGGCATCCTGCTGCCCCGAAACCACGGAGGACCAGGGGAGGGAGAGTGATGGTGCCCAGCCCAGGGTCTCACTCAGAGGGCATGTGGTACTGGGGACGCCCAGGTCATCTCTGGAGAAGGTCTTGCTGTTAACTGCCGACGAGTCAATTCTGACCCATGGCAACCCCATGCATGCAAAGCAGAACTGCTCCAAAAGGTTTTCAAGACTATGACCTTTTGAAAGCAGATTGCCAGGCCTGTCTTCTGAGGTGCCTCTGGGGGGCTCTGAACCACCAACCTTTTCGTTAGTAGTTGATTACTTAATTGTGCCACCCAGCATTGAATGAACTAGGCATATGTTTCTGAGGGCTATCTCCTTTGATCACTGAAAACATGGCTTTTTAACCTAAACAAAAAGAAGCTGCGGGAGAGATGCTGTGGATGACCTGTCTCACTGTGGCACCATGAAATGTCTTGACTGTGGCGCTGTGAACCGTCTGGCCGTGGCGCCGTGAACCGTCTGGCTGTGGCGCTGTGAACCGTCTCACTGTGGCACCGTGAACTGTCTCACTGTGGCACCGTGAACTGTCTTCCTGTGACAGAACATGGCAGGGAAGCAGCGGCCAGAGTGGGCCAGTGGGAAGCAGCCCAGCTCTGACCCAGGCCTGAAGGCGGAGGAGAGAGCAGGACAGTGTAGAATAACAGAGCGCAGACGAGGGGCGCCAGCACGCAGTCCCAGGCACCTTCCGCGGGCCTTTACCGTCCGTCTGCAGTTCTAGTCCTGGTGCTTGAGTCCGCACAGGTGCTTCTGCGGACACGTAAACACTACTGGACAAAGTGAGGTCTAGCTGGCGTGTGCACAATCTGCAGGCGGGAAAGACGAGTCTCCGGCACTGCTGATGCCTCATCAGCACCCACTCCAGATTTAAACTGGCCCATCTGTCTCTTTAAATGGCCTGTCTGAACACAGACACGGCTCAGTGGTTAGCTGCTAACCAAAACGTCAGCAGTTCAAATCCACCAGCCACTCCTCGGAAATCCCGTCCACGGGGCAGTTCTCTGTCTACAGGGTCGCTGTGAGTCAGAATCGACTTGACAGCAATGGGTTTGGGTTGTTTTTTTTTAACGAACACAAACCTAAGTTACGTTTAATGACTACCATAATCACTCCGACAGTTACCTTGTCAATGGCACCCCAGACAACAAACCCCCCTGCTTTTTATAAGAGGTTTTCATTAGTATTGCGAAGGTAGCGAACTGCAACACTCCCGTTTCACACACAACCTCACAAACGTTAGGACACTCTGCAACCACCACAGGGCTGCCGTCACAAACAGATGCCAGGCCCTGCAGCAGAGGCCTCACTGCTGACCCACGTGCCCCCACCCAGCCAAGCCCTGCAGGGGAGGCCTCACTGCTGACCCGTGGGCCCCACTCAGCCAGGCCCTGCAGTAGAGGCCTCACCGCTGACCCACGTGCCCCCATCCGGCCAGGCCCTGCAGGGGAGGTCTCACGGCTGACCTACATGCCCCCACCCGGCCAGGCCCTGCAGGGGAGGCCTCACTGCTGACCCACGTGCCCCCACCCAGCCAGGTCCTGCAGGGGAGGCCTCACTGCTGACCCGTAGGCCCCCACCCGGCCAGGCCCTGCAGGGGAGGCCTCACCACTGACCCACGTGCCCCCACCCGGCCAGGCCCTGCAGGGGAGGCCTCACGGCTGACCAAGGCCTGAGCAGATGGCTGGGCTCCAGGCACTAGAGAAGGTGCCACACAGAACAAGCGTCCCACTCCACCCGCAGGCAGCTCGAGGGCCATCAGCCTGAAGGAAGACACACGCTCGGGGAGACAGCACCACTGCTGAGCAGAGAGCACTCCCACTCCAATTTAACCAGAAAGGGGTGAAAACTGTGAAACTTCACCCCACTCACTTCTCCCTCTGTGAATCACACAGCGGTCACACCCACGTGGGTTAGCGTGGCCCCATGCCTGACGGGCCAACACACGGGGCCTCTCATCAGACCAGAGCGGTCACACTCACGTGGGTTAGCGTGGCCACACGCCTGACGGGCCAACACACGGGGACACGCAGGACCTCTCATCAGAACAACTGAAACAATGGGACAGGACAGTCTGCGCTGAGACCACGTGAATCAACAGAGCCCATACCTCCAGCTGCGTCTCTGGTCCGAACATGGCCCATATTTTTCTTCTTCGGACATCAATCCCTCTGCCTGGATGCTGAAAGAGTTAATTTTAGAGGTCAAGGTCAAGCTCGACCATACTACATTAGCAAGAGCTACAAAGCCCTGCAGGGACCGCCCCGGTATTCAGCATGAGGCCCCCTCTGCTTTTACGGACCGTGCGAGCACAAGTTCTCAGCCATGTGCAACGGTCGCCCGCCCCACACGGCACCGACAGGCCCTTGTATCTCGCACACAGTCACTACGGGTCCTCACAGGGGCACAAGGCCAAGGCAGCCCTGTGTCTGACCACAGCATCCTTTCATCTAGGGACCAGGACCAGGATGCTAGAGAATACGAGCCTGGCTCTCGGCCCTCAGTCCACTTGAGGTTCCTGGTCGCTGCACTCCTGCTTCCCGAGGGAGACACAGCCGACCCTCTCGGGCCACTTCTGCCAGTAGTGACCCTCACCTACAGCTCGTGACCATGCACAGCTCTCACGGGGCCACCTGACTTGTGCCCAAGTCTAGGAGGAGGAGGGGGCACGAGGCACCTCCCACCACCCCACGCGCCAGCTTCCAAATCACCACGTAACGTGCCAGCACCCACGGACAGCCTGTATACAAGGATTATGCTCCAAACTCCTTATTTTATAAAACACCTCCATAAGTGAATGCCAACAGCCCTGCCTGAAGCCCCCACAGCTGTGAGCGCACATCTGTCCCAGTAGGTGGAGGCTCAGCAGGAAGACGAGCAGCTTTGGCATCAGGCAGACTGGGCTTTGAATCCCAGATGTGTCACTCACAGCAGGGACGCGCTGGGCCCGTGCCCTCTGCTGCAGAGCAGGGAAACAGCACCCAGGGCGTCGGCTACACTGGGAGGAGCGTGCAGCACGGAGACTCTCGGCAGGGGGCGCGCCCGCGTGCACGCACACTCCCACGCACACGCACCGCACTCCACAGGCTGGGTACTGTCCTGAGCACCTCATCGCCTTGACCCCACTGCACAGACAGCTGGTCAACCGGTGCGAAGCCCTGTGCCGCACTGCCCACGCAGCTGTGTGTGCGCGCCTGATCGGCCTTCCTTGCCAGAACAGGAGCTTCTCAAGGGCAGGTCCCGCCTGACCCTTCACTCTCCGCCAGTGCCCCAAATGGGAGGTTTTCAAGAGAAAAAAACTGACAGCAAAAGCACACAGCTGCTGCTGGAGCCTGTCATCTTATGGCCTGTCACCTTACAGCCTGTCACAGCCTGTGCCTCACGGCCCACCACCTCACGGCCTGTCACCTTACAGCCTGTCACAGCCTGTACCTCACGGCCCACCACCTCACGGCCTGTCACCTTACAGCCTGTCACAGCCTGTATCTCATGGCCCACCACCTCACAGCCCATCACCTCACGGCCTGTCACCTTACGGCCTGTCACAGTCTGTACCTTATGGCCCACCACCACACGGCCCACCACCTCACGGCCTGTCACCTTACAGCCTGTCACAGCCTGTACCTCACGGCCCACCACCTCACGGCCTGTCACAGTCTGTACCTCACAGCCCATCA